CAGTCAGCAATGATAGTATTTCCCCCATATAAATCATGTTGCATTCTGAAATAATTTAAAATGATGCCATGGATATTGAAAGATTATAAAGCATTTTCTTTTTCCTCCTTTCATCTCAATTCCATTCCATTCTCCTCCCACATCACAGAAAGAGAAATCTGATAAAACATTTCTAACACTGAATCACGGATTCCTAAACTTTGACTTTTACTACTTTAAACTTGTACTACTTTCTCCTTCAAAGGAGCCCTGGGGTTATATTTAGGAAGGAAAAAGAAGTAGGAGGTACCACAGAGTTAGTACCAGGCCAGAGACTGTAAGGAGGGCCAGGTTTGTGCAAAGTGGTGCTAGGGCTTGTTAGGTCAAATATATGGCTTTGAAGTCCATCAAACACTTTATTTGCAATAGAATATTGAGGATAAAGTGTGATTTTAGTCATAGTTTTTACTCTGAAATTGTACGGCCTCTTTGTTGGTGAGAATGCGTTTATCCCAGGCCCTGACTATTGAAGGTACCACAAGCTAGAAGGATACTGCTCAGCTATCAGCTCTCCTCTAGCCCTAGAGATTGAGGGTGACCAAATTGGCAAAGACAAGGAAGAGGGTATTCTCACCCATAAAATGACAATAATAAAATTAGTGTCTTAAAGTTGTTACAAAGATTAATCACAAAAGTTAATCTTTGATTGAAAAGTTTTTCCCATTATCAAATGACTCCTAAAGATCCAGTTATATATAGAAGTGACTAATCAGATCCATTTGGCTTCCTTGGGTCCTGCGTATTTCTAGATCAAATGTTTCCAACCATCATTTGTGTGGCCTGGGTGTTGTAGCTCTTGCATACAAGATACCTGCTTCAGTGTCAACATAGAGACTTTTTCAGTGATTTATTTCAAATAAACAAAGAATTAATAAATAAGCATTAATTGAATATCTACCATATGGTAGGCATTTTCCTAGGTACTATCAGAACTCAAAAATTAATTTGACCTAATCTCTGAGTTGATCCATATGGTGGAAAG